TCCGTACGTCATGTAGATTAAGTTCCCAAAGTTTCAGCCCTGCAGCTTTTATAGGTCTTGAGATGAAAAATCGGTACAGACGCACACACCGATATACAGACAATCTCTCGTCAATATGCGTTTTTGCATTGCATGGCTGCAGAAAACGCATAAAAACAATCGTTAAATGGAAATTGTCCATTTACTTTATGCAAAATTTATGGTGAATTATGCTAGTGACCGCAAAAGGTGTAAAGCAACAACCATTCATGCAATTAATGACCTGAGTACATCAAGTCTAGTGCAATAACATATGATCGCACGGGCCTGCTCGGTGCGTTCCAGCCTGGTTTTTACTAAATGAACTGGCGCTCCTTTCCAGGAACAATGGCTCTGGTGCAATATATACGACTACGTACCGGAGAATTCAGAGCATTCGATCCAAGGCCAGTGCGAACGCACAATCGTCCTTCCCCATCTTAACTCAAGTCTTTTCAAGCCACTTTCTGTCAAGACTAAAAATCATGACTGGTGGCTAGTGCAAGGAATGAAGCTCAAAGAAAAATTTGTGGATTTACTCGACGGAACTCTTATGTTTCCCGCTGATGCTACGGTCGAAATGGAGGACGATGCACTGAGCAGCAGTAGTGGCAGTGGCGAAAGATCGGAACCGGCCCATGTTGCCAATTTTTCTCATAATCAACTTCTTCAAAGAACCAGCGTTCAAAATCCGAGGCAAATGTTTCCAGCTGAGCAGACTCTGGATATTCCTTCTCATTCACATTATCACACCGAACACAGTCCTCGATATCAAACGGCTTCAGTGCAAGATTATTTGCTGCCTAATGAAGATCCATCAAGCGTAGTGGCCAATGCACAGCAAAGCTTGGCAAATCTACTGTTGCGAATGGTACCTGCCGAAATCCCTTTCCCTGAAATATCGCGTCGCACTTGTTTTGGAATCCTAGAAGTTCAGCAGAAGCTGAAAGTTCAGAACGCTTCGTCGAAAAGTCAGCTAACCAAAACGAGAGTGGACGATGTGGAAACTGCTATGCCTTCAAACAGCAATACTCTCCGAGAAACTAACACAGTTTTGAGTAATACTCATTGTGGCGAAGAAATTGAGTGCAAAGAAATACAGCATTCTGACTCCTCCCCTGGCCGATCCAAACCGCAATTATTCAAATGGAGTCAGTCTCGAAATTCACCAGCAATCGAACCAGGGGTGGCGCTTAAACGGAGATTAGACACAGAGCAGAACATTATTCTGGGTGGGAAACTGCTAAAACCTAGTTACTCAGGGCAGCAAAGCAATTCGCCCTCGAGAAGCAGAAACTACAAATGAACCTAATCAAAAAACATTCAGAATTGGTAGTGTGAAATTTCTCTGCTTTATTTCTCAATTTTAGCTCAGCAACCAGTAAAATTAGGACGCTGAATTTTCCGAAGCATGTCCCACCCAGTGTGCAACACTTCCGTTATGCGTTTTTGCATATATGAAATGCAGAAACCCTTCGGCTGTATTTACCTGCTGCACTCCTACTCCCTCCCCATGCATTCCAGTCCCTCCCCCCCTTGTTATTTCTGTACTGTGTATAATATAGCAAAATAAAGATTTTATGCAATTTAAAAATCGCAGTCAAAAACCACTCCAAAAAAAAAATACAGACCACTGTTATTTTTTCAACAAAAACGCACTTCCTGCTGCTGCCATTTGTGGTTCCGAGATGGAAATAGAGAAGTAGCCTTGAATTAGCAGTGCTAATCCAAGATTGCTTCCTCACTACCTCTCCTAGGTTTTCACCATTTAACCAAACAAATTAATTTAATTGCTTCTGAATGATCCGAAAGCAACATTGCCAGCTCTTGTTGAAATCTCATAAAGTCAACTGTGTGTGACTCGCTAGAAAAGACAAATTTTCAGCAGCTATCAAGTATGCATCCAGGAAATCAGGATGAAATAAGTCACTCAAAAAAAGTACCATTTTTCCAACAGAAACGCGCTTTTTGCTGTTGCCATTTGTGTTTCCCAAATTTCCAGCAGCAATCAGATAAGCATTCAAAATGTCGGTATGTTCCCGAATGCATGAGACCTATAAATAAGGGAAAATTGCAACTGAGCAATCAGGGTATCGTTTTTAAACCGCAATAAGTGCCCGCCCCCTCCCCCTCCCTCACCCAATCCTGGCAAAAATACCTACAAGCGGTCGCAACATGTCCCAAATGCTCTAGTCTCAAGATAGTCCAAATACTTCAGTCTTCAAATATCCCAAATACACTACTGCGTTGAAACAGTCGGTCTAATGTAGAAACATTGAGTGATATGGAGTCCGCTGTCGTAACAGTGCGTATGCTGATTGCAAACCAAGTATATCCTGTTAAACGATTCGCAGTCTCATCTGCTTTTCATACGGTTCAAGCCATTTTCGGCACCTTTTCCCACGCTATCCTTTTTTTTTCCGACATGAGACACTGAAAAATACTTCATAAGAAACAGAATTTTTCTGTAAGGTAATCACTCTAAACCGATGAAAAATTATTTTGCATAAGAACCAGACCATTCGACATACTCTGGAAATTTCAACGTATCAATATTGCCGTATGTACTCAAACGCCCGGTTTACCCGATTCATTGAATATTTTTTGGTTCGCTCTTAACGGAAACTCTTGTGTTTCCTTACAGTCCAAATCCTATTCGAGGATGCGCTGCAAAGATGAGCT